GTAAATAATTTGTGGCAAGGGCTGTTTTTATCACTGCGCTTCAAACAACACTCAGCATATTGCTGGAACCAATTATATAAATAAATTATATAATATGTCTTTGGGTAACTTAAATACCATGCTGAGCAGTCAGTAGTTGAAATTTGAAAGATGCCAGAGCCAAATTTGAAAACAGGAGATAAAACATCAGATAATTCATATTTATTACAGTTTTTCATTTTTCTATGGCAGGCTGGTAATATAGAAAGATATTTGTGTTAAAATATCGTTGTTCTACGGAACAGATGTTTTTATGCTACTTTCTCTATTGCGTTTAATAACATACTATATGACATGCTGTAGTCATAACACATTGTTAAAAAACTTCTGCAGATACAACATTTACTTTTGATTAAACAAGTGTGCTGGGAGCTCAGTGTATCCCAGTGTAATTAAATGTTATTATTCTCCTATTTCAGAGCAGCTAATTGAATTAGACAATGGGCTACTTTAAGAAAATATGAAGAATATCTTTCTCTGTTCCTAAAACTTAAGGAAAACAAAGCCTCTCTCAAACAGTTTAGTGCTGAATATCTCATACCATTGAAGTTCAAAATAAATTGCATTTCCCTATATAAGCATAGTTTCTTGATAGTGGCAAGCGCTAGTTCTCAAAATACAGGTTACAAAGCAAGGACAGAGATGAGCAAAGTCTCTGAACACAGAGCAGAAATGTTGTGCTGGCGACCCCAGGAACACAAACAGGTTTAAATCATGGAGCTAGGGAAATGGAAGGGCAGGCTTTTTAATCTTTTCTTATTCAAGGATTATCTCCTGAGCATAAGAGAGGTAAGGTGCTCTGTATTATCAGGCTACATATACAGGGGGAGAAAAAACCCAAACCAAAACCCCACCAAAAGAAAAGAGGGTACCAGTGAGATCAACTGTTTCCAAAGGAAATGGTGTTAGCAGGGGAGAGTGGGAGAGAAGGGAACATGAAATTATGGGTAAAGAAGGGAAGGCAATAGCTCTCTTGACAAAACGTTATCAGTGGCTGGGAAAGGCACCACTTCTTTCTAACTCTTCATTTTCAAGCACATTGATGAAGATGTCTCTGTATAGAAGAGATCACAGAAGTCAGCTTCTGCTACATTTTGGCAGGATATTGATTTTTGGCGCACATCCTGTACACTTTGAATCTTAATATCAGAAGACATTTGACTAAGTAGACTGGAAAGTAATGACCAAGTTTGCTTATGGTGGAGATGAAGGAGAAATAGGGATCTCTGGGCAAAGCTCTGCTTTAACGTTGTTAGGAACTGGCACAGGAGCACAGCCCTCTGCAATGTGCTTATGGTAAAAGGGAAGCTGTCTCTATTAAGGTTACCAGGTCAAGGTGTCCTTGGCATGGCTGACTTGATCATTACCTTCTTAGCACAAAGTTTGAGCTGTAATACATCCTGCTTAACTGCATATCATATAACCTCAGTGTACCTGTGTGGCAGAGTATCCTTATCTGAATGATCAACATTAGATCATGTATGGTTACTAAACAAAGATGCAGGAAAGACCAGAACAGTCCCCTAATTCAGCAGCATCCCCTCAAACAGATTTACAGCTTCAAGGTGACTCCTCAGTCTGTGCTCCTCAGCTCAGTGGTAGAGTTGTTTGCCAAAGCTTAGAGGAGAGCAAATGAAAGACAGTATTCTGCTAAGAGCCTGATTCTCGGAAGAGGGGAAGAGGAAATTGTCACTTGCAGAAGCTGGCATGCAGAGGACCTGAGCCCAAAGTGTAACCAGGCTTTTCAGAGAAGGGGCTGAGTTATGCCTAGCCAAAGCATGAGTTGAATTCCAGGCGAAGGTCCCACAGTATGTAAAGGGCAAGTGTCATGCTCAGCTGGCATGAAGGTATAGCCTGGAGGTAGAAGTAAGGAGATCATTAGCTCATACCTGAGAAAGAAGTAAAGGGACCTGCCTACTTCTTGGAAAGAGTGCCCTCAGGGACCTGGGAGAGATCTCAGGAGAAACGAGATGGGGTTAGGGAAATGTGAACTGCATCTACAGCTCATTCGAGGAACATAAGGTCACATTTGCAGTATTTGCTGATGAATGGCAAGATTTTACTGCACATCCCGGGCAGTCTACCCTGTGCAGTTAGAAATCCTAAAGTAATTCAGATCGTGATAAGGCTGTAACTTGATACTCATCAAGTCTGAAATCTCAGTTTCTGCAGTCACACCCTGCTGCTGAGGCGAACTGTGGAATAATAAAAGCCTTTGGACTTGGCATTCCACAAAATGTGAAATCAAGGTTAAATGTCAATTCCTCAGTCCAAACAGTTGGGGCTGGTTGAGGTGAGGCAGCCAGTCACTGCAGGGGGGGTAAGTCCATGCCTCACAGAGCCAACAATTTCTTCCCTATCTGTTGAACAAACTTCAATGGTTTTCAGGCAGTTGAAAACTCCTACTTGGGCAGAAACTTCTCTCCCCTTCTTTGTTTACCTCATCCAAAAACCTTGAATTGCACTTTGAAATAGTTGACAACGTGTAACCTTAGGAAACCACATTCCCAGTGTTCAAACATATTTTGGGGCTTTGCTAGTATGATATTAAAGTGTATGAGACACACTGGCTACCATTTGGTCAGAAGGAAACAACAGATGCCAGGTAAAATAAGAATCCAGTGCTGCCAGTTGCAGGGCCTGGAGGAAATACCAGAGATGTCGATGGAGTAGAGGATGGTGATAATTCTAGGCTATGTCTACACAGCTTGTCAAGCACAAATAGGGAAAGTCTGGTACATCCCCTGACCCCACACTCTGCATCTGTGTCACTGACTCTACAATATTTCTCTGTCAGCCTGTTGGCATGAGCATTGCATAAGAAACTTCGAGCTATAAATTGTGTTTGATTCTAGTTGAAGCAACACCAGGAGCCATGTAAGAAGAATTGCTTAGATGTGATTTGTGGCCACAATGGCAGATGGGATAGAGGGTAGCTGCCAAGGCAGCAAAATCTCATCTGTCCTGCCTGCGTGATAGTCACAAAATATCTTCCTCACACCTTCCTTCACCAACCTGCCTGCACACCCCTCTGTTCTCCCTCAGAGTCTCGTCTGAGCACACGTGTCAGAGGGTTGCTGGGGAAAGTGGATTGAAGCATGCACCTGGGCCACTCTAGATAGAGAACATCTTCAGAGGATTCTTTCTTCAGAGAAAGAGACCACAGAACATCTTCAGAAGATTCTTTCTGGTGCACACACAAGAAAGCTGTGCATGTTTTCACCCATCGCTAGGATTTCCTAGTGGATGACACCTTATAGACAGTTGGTTGACTGCTGAGCTGTTACACGTCTGCTGCATTTTAGTTGTTGGCCTTTCCTCTTTTCAGCTATTTTTTTCTTGCAGAGGAGGGCTTTTACCTCTCCTTCCCGAGGATTTCCTCACTGCCTCTTCTGAGAATTCTTAATTTCAAAGGTGTTCTTCAGAAACCTATGATGTCCCCTGATGTGCCTCCGTGAAGTTTAAATGTCCTCAGATAAAGGTCCTTACTATTTCTCAAGAGGCAAATGAAACACAGACTCCTGAAGTCTGAAAGACTTAAATGCAAGATACACATGAATACAAAAATTACGGGCAAACTGTTTCAGATGCTGGAACAGGAAGGCTGTTCAGAACTCCTGCTTTATGGAAAAAATAGCCAGAACTGGGGTAGCTATAGCAACGTGCGTATCGCCAGGTTTGAAGGGAATCTAGTCCGCATAATGGGTAATCCAATGAAGCAAACAAAGCAGATACCTAAGGAAATCTAATAAAGTTATTAACATTAATTTAAGATTAATATAATGATATAAAAATCCTTTGCACAGAATGCGGCAATTTTAACTCTTCGGCCTCAGCAGTCAGGCTTATCAGATCACCAAACTGTGTTAGAAACAAACTGTTTCTTAGAAACCAACTTCAGTTGTCAGTCTGATGCTTTATACACATGCATGCACACTCACGCACCCACATTCCACAGGCACATCATCGTATCTGCTACCTCCACCTGTGGTGCTTGTGCATGGGCATGCGTTCTGTAACACTTTCAAGAAGTCATGCTCCTCTTTAATCTCCATCATAATATCTGCAGTGGAATCCTCACAGGCCATGCTGGTGCAGAATTCGTGTGCTCCACTGAAGAAGCAGAGGCCCTTGGGCTTGCACTGGAGCCTTTCCTTGTCCTGCCAGCAGCACAGGGCTTCAGGCACAGCCTGAAGTCCAGGGGTGAAGAGGCTGCACATGCTTGGGTTGGAGCTCCCCCTTTTAACCTATGGATCACCTTCCCATTTGACTCACAACCTCCCCTTCTCCTAGAGCCAGGGACACGCTTCCCAGCGAGTGGAGGATAAGCGGTTCCTTTTGTCTGAAAAGTAGTGAACGATTCCTAAAAGCACAAATTTACATTTTATGATTTTGGCCCTTTTTCCAAGCTGTTTCTCATTCTTGGAACTCCTTCCCTCTTTTATGATCCAAGCAGCCGCCCATTTTCATTTAAATCATTCCTTGAAACACACTTTCTCTGTGAAGCCTCCGGCTACAGACGACTGGATATGGAAGAAAGTGTGTTTGAATTCAGAACAAGGGTTTTGTTTGAGCAAATTGTTTGGGGAATAGCCACTTTTTATACCACACCTGATATTCAACAGAGTATTAGCATACAAACAAGGATTTATTATTCACTAGTCATTATTTCATTATTCCTCTGTTTAAAAGAGATCCAGTCGTCTAATCACAGCACCAAGGGAATAGAAACATATCACGTCATTTAGCGTATCAATTACAGGCCTTAAATGAGGATGAGCAAGTAGTCATCATGAGTGGTTTGCCAGTTTACATACTCTCTAGGGGGGGAACAAGGGTCTGGCTGCAAACAAACAAATAAATGAGCATTTTTGGGTAGTCTGTTTGCAATCAATAGCTGAAGAGAGTCTTTTTCCAACCCAACTCTGTCATGAAGAAAAACCTCATTTAAAAACAGTTGGGGGGGGGAAAAGTATTTAATTGTGTCATTTTAAACCATCTCCTTTACTTAATTTGTGGATGGTGTTTTGTGTCTATATGTTCTCTAAGCTAGTTCGCAGTGCCATATGGTAAGGATTTCTTTCCACAGCAATTGTCAATGCTACAATATTCTTAATAACTTTCAGCCAACAGTGAAAAGGCAGATTTTCTAGAGCTGCAGTGAAAACTGGTGGCACAGGAGGGAAGAGGTTCCAGGAGGTGTTTGGAACAGAACCTTTGTACCCTCCATGCACATTTTCTCCTGTGTCCCCGTGCACATTCACACACATAGGTACACGTGCACCCTGCGGCCCTACACGCTTCGCTTAGCTCCAGCAAAAGCTGAGGATCTTGGAAGAGGAGCTGTGGTCTAGGGAAGTGACTGCCACAAGCCTTTTTGGTCCCATGCGTGGGATTCCTTGCACAGAAAACCAGCAGTGGATTTATGTGCTACACACAGCAGGCCAGATAATACAGTCGTGGGAGGAATGCCCAGTTGTCTGTGTGGGCGCAGAGTGTCATCCCCGAGTACCATAAATTCCTCCTGTGATCCACCGAAATTCTGTCAATTCAATCCAAGACATCATTAACCTCGACAACCGTCTTGTTCCTTTGCTCTCAAGGCTCTATTATTTTTTCATTTACTTTCTCACTATATGGAGCCCAGAAAAAAGGCTGGATCATGCTAACTTAACTGCTGCATCAAGGACTCAGTGGATGGGAACAGACGTCCTTCCCTGAGAAGAACCCAGCTGAATAAAGTTAGCAGAACCATTTGACACCACATAATCAGGCAAACACTGATAACTGCCCTGTGGTGAGACAGAAGCATTACGCAAAACAAACCAAAGCCTCTTGCTAAACATTTGTGTTCAGGTAAATATTACATGGCCGCACGCTGTCCATTCATAAGGTGGCACCAGGAGGTCACTGTGCTGAGCACAGCTGTTCCCCCTTGCATCCCCTTCCCACCAAGACCTCAGGAGCCAGCTGCTGACTTTGGCCAGTGAGTACTGTACCGCATTGGCCTGAATTGCAGAAAGTCATTAGAGGATCGTGACTATCCCACCTTTCCAAACAGTAAATATGTGTGCGTGTGTGTGTTTGTGTATGAAAAACAGGGCAGGTATGAAAAATACTACGGAAAAGATGAAATTCATATCGCCAGTACAGAGTTAAGATGCAGGCTGTCTGTAGCGTAGGTACTTCTTTTCTGTCTTTGCTGTTCGAATCCAAACTGACCAGGTTGCTCCCTTTTTTCCCCTCTGAGGAAACAAATGTTGCCACCAGTTCTTGTGTGATAGATGTTCTCTGGTGAGCATTGCCTTATTAGCACATCCTGCAAAATGATAACCGGTGGTGCAAAGTCCTTGCCTAACATTTATAAACAGTTCCTCAGAAGAAACGCCAGGCACTCCAATGTATTTAATTTTAGGAAAGCAGCTGGTCCAAAACGGTGGAGACTGTATTATTAGTCTCTCTCTGGGGCAGGACTGATCATGCTTTCCCATGGAGAGAACGGGCAGATGCAGTTTAGGAGCAGCTTTGGTGTCATGTAGGAATCTGGTATTCACTGTACCAAAAATTTGGCTGCCCAGTGGAGGGGAGATGACCGAGCTTGGTCTATGCATGCAGAAAGGACAAATATCCCATAGCTATGCCCTGCAGAGCTGAACAGGGTCAGAATAGTCACTGGTCTATACAGACAGACCTAAGCTACAAAGCCTCTGACCCAAGCACACGTTCTTCATCCCAAGGGCAGTGAGGTGGTGCCACCTCAGCCCCCCTTAATTACTGAGTATGGAGAAAGCATATGGAAAACCTCAGGATGGGGAAGCAGCACAAGATGTCTTTGTAGAGTGCCTGTGCCAGTAACATTGCCCTGCATCCTTCTAGGAAGCAAGCCAGGGAGCAAAGCTTCTGCGAAGGGAGCTCTGAAAGCCTTGATTCAATTTGTACCCAGCTCAGCTCCATGACTGTCTCTTAGCTGCTTCAAATTACTTTCTTTTTGGCAGCCCAGGAATTAAATGTTAACTCAGAGAACTGTATTAATCTTTATTAGCAAGGAGCTGGAATCTAAATAGCTTGAACCTCGGTTCTCTGGTGTGTCAACTGAAGCAACGTGCATTTATCCCGTCTATAAATCAGCTTGTCTGACAGAGCAGCCAGAAGAAATGCCACAAAACCACAATAGTCTAAGCACAGTGTTTACCTTGAAATTGTTCTATGATTTACTTTAAAAAGCCCAAAACAAATAAACAAACAAAATCATGACAAAAACTAGGAACTGTCCCAGGAAAGATAAAAAGATGAAAATAATGCAACATTTATTTACTTAAAGCTTTTTCCCAATATCACAGCTTACAATAGCACACTGCAGGTTTTCAGCTGCTATTGTAGTGTTTCTGCAAAGGAAACTCCCTCTTAAATAGTTCTTATCTAAGGGAAGAAGCTGAATTTCTTCACTACAATGCAGCATGCACAGAAAATGCCTGCTTGCCATCTAAACCCATTTCTTTTTTTGAGGCAGTGGCCAACACCAGATGCTTGGAGGAAAAAAAACGGTGAGAAGTGCTAAAATGAGCAATTACCAAGGAACCTGCCCCTAGCAAAAGCTGCCTTCTAATCGCTGGGAAATTTATTGTTATTTATGATCTAAAGTGTGGTGATTTATATCCCTTGTAATTTGTTATTCTACTGAGTAAAATGTTTGGTGTTTTTTATTATTCATGGGCCTTTTTAAATCTTATTATTTCTTTGCTGACCTCAATAATAGCAGCTGGGGCAGTAAGTTCCACAAGTTAATTATTGGTTGTGTATAAAGCACCTTCCTTAAAAGAATTGTATTTTACTTACATTTGCCTCCTAATTCGCTTGATTCTCTCATGCTCCTGCACTCTGAGTATGGCTACTTCTTCTATAAGGTTCAGTCTTCTGCTTTAACTACATCTTCAGAACCATTGCTCATTTGTCAGCTCCAAGCCTGTGCATCCCTTTGTGTGTAAACAGAGTCTTTGTGTGACCATTCATTCCACAGATGATACTTTGGCCATCAACCTTGCTGTGGCAGGTGTTTACCAAAGGTGTCCATGCTGCAGGACTGCTTTGTTCTAGCGAGGTGACCCCCCAAGTTTTGGTAAACAACAACAAAAAATCAGGATCTCTTCCTAAATTCTCTTCCTAATTAGGAAGCGAGCCCCTGAGCAGGGCTTGGACCAGCCACGCTCGCACCGCCTGCCAGAGCTGTCACCATGGGGAAATATATTGTCCTCAGAAAATCCTGCCTGACAGCGCGCACTGAAAATAGTGCCTCGCTGGGGCTTGCCTCCCTCCCATGGCCCTTGCTGGAGCCTCCCGCTTCCCAACGCTTCCCCTGGCTCTCCCACTGCCAACTGGGGGTCTGTCTGCTGCACCCCAGGGCACAACTGCCAGGGACAGATCCAGAGCCACACAGATCCAGTGCCAAAACTGCATGTCCCTTCCCTATCCCCTCCCTGCATTTCCCCAGGGGGGTTTGCTCAGGGCTGGGGCAAAACCAGTGACTTCCCAGTCCTGTCTCAGCCCAGCATTAGGCCAGTGCTCCTCAGCTCATATGGAGGCTTTATTTCTCACTTACCTGTTATGGGGAATGGAAAACCTTCTTCCTGCTTCATTTAGCCCCTGTGCCTGACCCGGACCCCTCTCTTACACCACATGCCCAGCCTGTACTTGTGTCTCCAACCTCCTGATGCAGAAACCCTTAGTCTACCCCAAAGCATTGCTCTGCTCCTCATGGACTTGAAGAAAGGGCAGTAGGGCAGAGCTGGGATTAAAACCAAGCAGATGTGAAAGCCACAGAGCAGCATGTTTCTTGTGTGGAGACTTTTTTCCATTGCTTGCAAACTGTGTGGTCCTGCCATGAGGAGTAAGTGTAGGCAGGTGCTCCATGCAAGGGAACTCCAGCACAACCACCATTCTTTGTAGAGCAGGCTATACCCAGCTTCAAGGCCACCCAAAATGCTTTAGCTGCAAAAAGCTCAGCCACATGGTTATCTGGTTACCAAAGATGTAAGCTCCAGTGAAAGATGATGGGAACAAGATTTCCTGATTCCTACTATGCTTCCTGGTGGCTTCTCTGTTGAAAATCAACAAAGAACAAGGGGTTTCCATTCCCATTCCCAACCCCATCCCCACCACACAGTATGCCTGCCTGCAGTTACTACTGTCCCTACATTGCTTCAGAAACAGTGATTAAACAACCTATAAGTATATATTTGTGATGGTATGCAGTAAATCAAATATTCATTTGGGCTGGACATGTCTGGTCTTCTAATTAACTTGAAGTATTCAACGTTGACAGCTCAGAATGTCAGCACAAGTTTTGCATTATGGTTTTCTTTTTCTGCTCTCAGCCCACACTGCATGCATGCAATGATGTCATCTGAAGACCAACTTTTATCTTTGAAACAGTAGTTCTGAGTCTTCCCAATTGCACTGAAAGGACTCCAAAATGAAGAAAGAAACAGAGAACTTAAAATACGGACTTTAAAAATAGCAGCAGTTTAAATTAAGCTCATTAATCTGGGAGAATAACTCCTAATGTACTTTTTATTTACTTGGGCTGATAAGATGAAGCGTACCAGTCAGACTTGTTTCAGAAACTCAAGCATTTTCCTGATGTTATTGAATCATGCAAGAAATACCAGTATTTATCCAGGGTCACTGGAAACCCCATTCCAGAAATCCTGGGGAGAGCGGGATGCTAGGATTCAGGGCACAGCAGTGAGACAGACATACGCTGCTGAGGTAGGAAGGCTATGAGAATGCGGGACGCTTTGAAGTTGGTGGAAGAGAGTCAATATACCAAGTCAATATACCAAGCAGTGGCATGGCTGTAAGAAGTGATGTGGTATCTGGAGGCAGGATGGAGGGACAGGAGAAGAGGCACATGGTTATCCACTCTTTCTTTATAGGTCACATTTCCTATCCTGAAAATTTGTGTCAGGTCGGGCAAAACCCTTTTTGGACCATGCGATCTCCCGAGAGCCATGGGACTGATGGGGCATCCCATGGTGCTGACCCAGCCTGAAAGTGCACAGCAAGCCACTCATCCACTTCTAGCCTAGAATGTGCTTCCTCCCCAGACCTGGGTGTAAGCTCCTCCTCCAGGTCTTTACAAAACATTTATGGAGGAGCTGTTCATGTCTCTGCCTCTTCCTCAAGCTCTTTTGAGAAATGGCTCTCTCCACCTTTCTAAGCTGCAGCTCTCTGTGGAGCTAACAGCATCTCCCTGTTAGGGCAGCCAGCAAGGTGGCTGTGAGCGCTGAGTCTTTGCAGGAGGCCATGCTCCTTGTTCAGAGCTGCTTCACAGCATGATGGGCTGCTGCACTGCATGGACAAGCTCCAAGAAGTCCCATGCTGTAACCAGCATGGCCATGGATGGGGTATGTTGAAGATATGTTAAAAAGCCTGTCTTGCAGGTATGAGTTGTAAAGAAGTGTAGAGGATAGGTAGGAAAAAACTCAACACTATCCAAACAGGAAAGCTCTGCTACTACAGTGCTGCAGGGAAACAGCAAGTTTGGGCTTACCACAGTTTTCCTTCTCCTGGTACAATTCCTTGTTCAGTGTTAGAAGGAAAGGACCCAAGCTATCACACCGCACCCTCCTCTGTTCCAGCTCTAGAAAGGGTCCCTGCTTTAGCTTTGCCAGTATCATATATATAACTAATGAAGCAAATTAGAGAGACAAGTTCAGGCCTTTGTGCTCAGGCCAGGACAAAGGCTGACTCAGCAGGGGCTGCCTCTACTCTAGAAGTAGAGGGTTTGTCCACAAGCAGCAATTAAGATGTCACCTCTATTTGATACAGAAATCACGTCTGCATATGTTCTACAAGCAATTTTCCTCTACAAATGGAATTAAATCCTACTAATGCAACCATGAGAAGTTTTTCCAATATTCAGTGCAAGACCGAACCTGTATATAGTGGAGGGTGTTAGCACCAAGCTCTTTCCCATCTAAGAAAATACCCAGGAGTCTGAGAAGTGCTGCACAATGTGAGCAAGCCTGACCTTTTTCCAGACAGCAGCAACAAATTATCAAGCTGGAAAAAAAGAAAGAGAGGCAGTCCTTCTAAAAAGGAAAGTGAGCTCTGGAAACTGAGTAATTTAATGCTCTTTAATGTCTCCAGCCAAGCTTCATATCACTTGGAGCAGTAAGGGGAAAAAAAATAGGAAAGAAAGAAAAAATGAAACTACCTTTAATTCCCATGAGGAGGTCACAGAGTTTATCATGTCCAAAGGCTTACAGCCTGGTGCTGGGGCTACAGAAACCAGCAGGGAGCAATCCCACAGAAAATGATACATCTTTTCCCCTACTGTCTGCATTTTGCTTCTTTAATCAGATAAAACCACTCATTATATTCAGTATACTTAGAAAAGAAAGAGAGATAGGAGACTGTGCCTTTTGTTCAACTCCTTAAAGGCCTTAAAGAGAACCATAACAAAAAATTCAGTCTACCTGCCTGGCCGCTTCTCTCATCTCATAGAAGATAGGAAAGCTGTTTTCTTCTGTTTTCTTTAAGCCTTAGCTCAGAAATCCAGGTTATCTCTCTCTGGTTTTTCCTTCTTACAGCTCAGACTTTCAGGCATGGCTATCTTACTTGATGTGAGCACTGAGGACTTCGGGAAAGTCAACCATCCGTGCCTTGGAGCAGGGGAGCCCATTGAGTACTTCTACTGCTAGCACACCAACCATGCAGGTGAACCCAAATGTGCCCAGCACTGTTTATACACACAGAGCTACCAGCAGTGGAGTGAGAAGTTGTCTTAAAAAATATATGACCTTGCCTCTGCAGCAAGTGGTAGAGAAATCTCCCAATCCGCTTCATTAGTCCTCTCAGCAGGCATGGACAAGGCTGCCATAAACCTACCCTGCAGGTCAGAAAAACGAAGCAAACCTTTTAGGACTTCTTCATGTACTTTTAGAATAATAACGGAGGGAAAAAACCCTGTGTTGAGCAGAAGTTTCTATCACAGAGACATCAAAGCTTTTAAGCCTGGACTATTGTAATACAAGATTGCTCCAAAACAACAGCTTGTTAAGCAGGCAGGTACTTACCTGTAAGGCTGAGCAGACTACAGAGCCCATTTCTACCACAATAGCTACCAGCTATTCTGCTGCGCAAATACGCTCTTCAGCTACACGGCTGCAAGCGAGCTCCTATCTCCGCATAAGGGAGAAAACACTCCTTCAGTCCTGCTGCAGCAGCTGCCTGCCATGGGGATAAGGTTTGAACTTGTAGAGAAGAGGCAGGGCCACACCTGGGAGCTCGCTGTGGTTGACGATGAAGTCAATGAAAGTCAATGTTTAGCCCTTGCTTCAATTCTCAAGTTTTGCACCATTTCTCCAACATTTCCAAAGGGCAGAAGAGACATAAACTGTTCATGAACCCTTCTTGACTGGGCTTAAACAAGGGTAGGAAGGACTGAAACAGCATTTCAGCTACTATTAAGGCTCCAAAACTTAGTGCTAGAAAAGTGATGGTCTGTGAATGGGATTAACAGTAAAGTGTGGCTTTACCGTTAAGTGCTTTACAGCTCTTCATCCCCATGGGAAATTTTGCTTTAGGAAGCTCACAGGCTAATGACCAACACATAGGCAAGACCTATCAAAAGGGAATGACAGCTCATAAACCATCCATACACAGCTGGAGCAAGATGCGAGCTGTGCCAGTGACAAACTTTTGTCTCCAGTCTGAGGGCAAAGCTGACACTCTCGGGGGAGCTGATCTGTGAGGCAAACCAGTTATGGTGGGGTTTTAACTAATCAGCCTGTGGCAGGATTGAACCGAGGCCACAGGCCATGAAGAGCACCTGTGACTCCTTCACTAACCTCCATCTACTGGGACAACGCTTAGGTGAGACCAAGTATGAGCAGGTCCTTGCTGTGCCCTTTTGACTCTCTTCTATCAAATGACCCCTTAGGACCATAAGTACTCTAGAAACTGGCCTGGATCCCAGCTGGCTCTAGGACTGTGTGTGTAAAAGGGGCTGAAGGCCATCACCAGTGAATCCACTCACTGAGGCACAGTGAGAGCAGCCCTGGGCCACCCCCAAATGCCTCACCACAGTCCAGAAGGGACACTGCATGGGGCTGCTTTTGAAAGGCAGCTTTTGCTCTTTTTGTGGCTCCTCCTTCCCTCCATAAGATTTGCTTGGGCATCAGAACGAATGTAGGAAGCCTGAGCCATCCAGGCAGCTGGAAAGACCTGCTGCCTCCAGGAGGAAGAAAGCCAGGCTCATTTAGTTGTTTTCCAGGAGGAGCCAGAGTTATCCTGGCAGCTGAGCTGGTTGCTTGCCAGGAAGAGCAGGGGAAGCTAGGGAGGTTGTTTCTGAGGAAAACCTCAACCTTTGGCTTAAAATGTGTGGCACAAGACCCAGGGATGCAGTTGGGCTGGGAGTCAACATCTGAAGACAAGAAAATATTTATGGATGCTTGAGCAGTATTTGCAGGACAGAGAGAGGAGATGTGTGCTCTCACTGATTGTGGGTGAGGAGCCTGGAAGTGGTGCAGCACAGCGAAGCAACACACCACGCTTCTTGAGACATCACTAATGCTTCTGCATGAGCCTGGGGGCTCTGGGGACAGCAGGGTTTCAGCTGACACGGGGCTGCATGCACGTTCTGAAGAGTTCAAATGAGGCTTTAATAGGTCTGGCTCGCTTATCAGCGCCTCTAAGAGCTCAGGGTTCAGATAAGCACTGCAGAAGATGCAGATTTAAGCAAGTGTAGAGAGGAATCTTATTTTTTCATCCATCACTTTATAGGTTTCCTTTGTAACCTCCTCAGCAGGTATGTGTGCGTGTGCGTGTGTAACATCTTCCCCATTCCATCTGGTTGTGATTAATTTAGGTATAAGGCAGTCGATGTAACTCGTTTGTACATAGTTATTTCAATTTCTAGATATGCCATGTACAAAGGGTTGTTCAGGCGCATGTCTGTCAGCCTATCTTCTTTCAGCAGCTTAGGGAAGGGAGAAAAAGCAGTAGGAAAGGATATGTGGTGTTTTGAATAGTCATAATTCTTCACTTTGTCCTCTATGGACATATTTTTCTCAAGCCTGCTGGTTTATCTTGAGCCCATGGACTTGAAAAAACATATCATTAAAGGATTTTTGTTTCTTTTTTGCTTGCAGCAATAAAAAGATAATTGGAGGGGAATACAACCTATTTCTCTCCTGAATAATCTCCAGCATGGGCCAGTGACTGCTCTGTGGTCAGTGGTCTGCTGACCACCATGGTCTGGCAAAACTGGCTGTGAGGAGACACTGAATTCTGAAAACCTCTGACCTCTTCCCCACGCAGCGACGCCATGGGCTCTGTCCCTGCTGCCAAGCTCTGCTCCTGCATCCAGCATCACAGTGGGCACAAAGCACATCGTGCTTTGCTCAGTACTGCACCAGGAAGCCCCTAGAGTAGCTTGAAATGGGGAAAGGACAACCAACCTGCCCAAGGATGAGCTTACATGGATCAAAGTTGTGTTGTGGTTGCAGTTGGTAGTCCACCACCGCAACCTAGGTAGCTCCCATTAAAGGTCCTTTATTTGTGATCTCTCTTCTTCCTGAAAGATACTGTAAGGGGCATGACAGAAGAGGGAGGTCAGCTTTGGGCATCATAGAAGTCTCAACTAGCTGGACAAAATGTACTGTGGGTATAACTAGGGGGCAAGGCATGACACTTCTGCTAGTGTTTCCTATCTTACGAGCTCTAATAATGCACTTCGGCAGCTATCCTGTGCCTAAGCTGTCACTGCTGAGAGGTGTCCTGGTAT